CCCCCCCCCCCCCTGCCCCTCCTCACCGACTTTTTAGTTTGCCGTAGCATACAGATCGAGAAATGACCAATTTAAGAGGGTGCCCTCCCCTGAAATCAAGTAGAATGCCCCTCACTGAGAAAAACTTCTGGCTACGCACCTGCATGGCTATGAGCGGAGTGTACGGTGGTCACCGGCCGCTGGCCGTGGTACGGTGCTGCCCGCCTACGGCTGCCCAACCCCTAGTGGGGGAGTCCATTGTGCTTCGGGTCGACCCGGGAGCAGAAGACTCGACTACCGACGACAGGGTGATCTCGTGGGGCGAAGGTCCGTGCATTGCTGAACTATTCGTGCCCAATGAAGTATACGGCATGACTTGGAAATCCGTTTAGCGTTCCCGGAAGGCATGCGTATCTCACCTGGGCACAGAAAGCACCTCGACATACTGGGAGGAAAAAAGAAAGCACGAAAGAATCGCGTTGTCATACAACAAAGCGAGGACAATGACGCCTTGTTAACGCGTTCAACTGGTCTATTACGGTGTTTCTATTAAATGCATCGATTTTTCTAGGGAGAATCGAGCTACACAAAACCACGCAACTAACGGTTATACAGGTCATTGATGACAAGAAACAGCTTTCTGTAACCAACTACAATGAACTTACAACTACAATCAGCAGTAATTAACGTTTTGCTTTGTGTAGTCGACTATTTAAAATATATTGCAAGTGGAACAACACTGTCCATTTGAATAAGGCAAAAAAAAAAATATCGCATCATATACACGGAGTGAATGATGATGAGTGGGGCGAAGCTTCGAGAGGTTTTATCCGTAAACCGCGAATCGCCCGTCCCTTTGCCGCGTTCGTATGTCTGTCTGTATGTCCATCCATGTGGACGTCCATCCACGCGTCCGCCCGTACATCTGTCTGTGTGTTCGCGCGTCCGTCCATCTGCTTGTATGTCTGTCCGTCCATCTAGTGAACACTCCAAGTACCGCCATCTCGAATCTTTTCATCATATATTAATCATATACAAGTACCGCCACCCTTCGAAAATTCCCAAGGCAAAACGAGAGGTGGCTACCTACTGCTACTACATACATCGGAGACGCATGACCAACGGCTTGAGGAGCTTCGCCCCTAATATAGAGCCCTAATATAATATGGGTAAAGTTCCTTGTCTTTATTTTCTCAGTGCCTTTTCGTGGCTGCTTTGAAGCAGTCACTACCAAAAATGACAGTTTGGAGAAATATTTAGCAGCATTCATCCTCTGAACCTGTTTTGAGCAGCATTTTCATCGCTGGGTGTGGCGACTTTCAGCGAAACATGCACGCTTGGATAGTTTTCAGTCTTAGTTGGTGATGTTTACAAAAAAAAAAAAAAAAAAGAAACGACGGGTGACGAGGAATGGAACTACAAAAAAGAAATTCGCAGAGTACGCGGTCAAACAGTCTAGCCACTGTACTAGCAAAATGTAAATGGCGGTTAAGAGAAAAAAGTTACCTAGAAGTATTATATGACATTTCAGTGAATAAACTACTTACATCAATTGGTAACTATCAGCCACGCTTTCGAAGGAAATAATTGTAAGTTGATTTGGTAACCTACTTCCCGTGATGCCCACTTAGAAAAAAAAAAAAAGGATGCATGCGTAATTTACTCTACACCCACTGGTTCCTGTGTGTTTAGAAAAACGTTGACTATTTATAGCACGAGGTACTCTACTATGGCAGAGCATAAAGCCGTTCCGTGGGCCTCACACTTGATGAGGCCGTGACACTGGCGACATTGATCGCGAGAGAGCGACTTCGATTATCGTTCATTATTACCGCAAGATACACGCGGATTTCACATTCGACATAATCTAAATGAACGAAATAATATAGTGGAATCTTCGTTATTATGTCAACATGGAGAATGCAGCTTCTAGTGTTCTTTCTTCCCCCTCCCCCTTTTTTTAAGAAGGACCACGAAACGCTCCTCTGCGGATGAGTAGCTTAAAAGCTCTAGTTCAGTTCATTACCATAAAGGAAGCGTTTACATGGTTCAGAATAACGCCACACGTTTCAATCGCTCTAATTATAGCCGCACCACCGGTATAACTTGCACGAAATTAGCTCTTTCCTTTCCCGTCATTATCGCCACGCAGAAAAGTGTAACGCATCATAGCCTTGTTCCGTAAAACGTATCATCCCCCTGCACTACGTGATCAGCTCATCCCTGAACCATCTTCTGTATCCCATCGCACAGACCATGTTCACATGGTAGGACTCGCTTCATGTAATACTGCGCACTTTTATCACACATTTCTGTCACGAACCTCTCGTGATTGGAATGTCCTCCCGCGGACGTTGTGAACATTTTCCATCATTAACAGTTCCGTGATTCCCTAGCTAACATTCTATACTAAGGCTTTTTGTAAACTAACTGCAAGTTCACATTTTGCTTTTTTGTTTCGTATGCATTTTGTTTTATTGTATTTTTGTTCCTTTTTTTGTTTTATTGTTTTTATGTCAAGTGTTGCTTCCATTCCCCCCCCTGTGATGCCTCTAGCCATGAGGGGTATAATTAAATTAAATGAATACGCTAATGTCGAGATTAAAAATATGCGGCGAACATGGTATTCCTATCCTCGCACCGATTGATTTGGATACAGTAATGCCAAATGTGAGTGAGACTTGTTACTAAGCTAATTGCATGCTGTCACAGCACTTCGTAACAAATGCTCATTTACGCTTCATTTGGGGCTGTTAATTGCGTCAATTCATACAATTAGAGTAAAAAGTCGTACGCGGGCAGAATTTTAGCTTGCCTTGAAGAGGCGCGAGTCTCACCAAATCGGAACTAGACCACTGCACGGGCCCGGGTAAGACATTGTTGGGTCGAGCCCGGACCGGGCCCATGAGCTTCGGGCTCGAGTCAGGCCCGTATTAGGCCCGGGTCTCATATACAGGGTGTTTCGAGAAATATGTCCAACACTATTTGAAAATTACAAAAACGACTCATTTCATGCTACATGCAGCATCGCCTTTATTTTAACCGAAGGCATCTTCAGAAATGTACAAGCAATAAATAAAAAAACAACTAAAATTTTGCACAATTTAAAACTATTACCTTCTCAATTAGCGCGGTTTCAAAGTGAATGGTAGATGCGCTGTTTTTTGCGTCAGTTTCAGTTTCGTGAGCAAAATTAGCCAAGTTTCATCGCTCCGCACTGATCACCAGGGGCCGCCTTTCAAAAGTGTCAAAGTGGTTATAGACTTTTCGTAGGAAGAACTTTCATTCACCCATTTGACTCGACCAATACTTTCCACTGGTTAAAAGTCAGTTTTAATTTCTCTAATTACTGCCGTAATTCGTGCAGTTAGAAGCGGCCGTCGTTCTTTTCATCTGCGGCGATATCAGTGAATCTTCAGAGACGAATTAAGTTCACGAAGCCATCATTGCAGTAGTTAAACCGTTGGCGGATGCAGTTGTTTTCCCAAGCGTCACCTGCGAACCCGCAGTAAGTCTTATTATTGGTTTGGACCGATTGCGGAAAGTAATGCCAACTGACAGCGAAGTCTGTTGGGTGTCGGATAAGACGACAAAATAGGCTTCTTCATGGAACAAGGAGGATAGCGGCTAGCTTGTTAATGGGTGTGGATCGCATTGACAGATTACGGAACTGTGGCGGCGACTCGAGGAAGAAAGTTGGGGAAAGTAATCTTGTCGTTTTGAGCTAGAAAACGCAGTGTACGTTGGAGACATGCGAGAAGCCAACGCGATAGCTTTAATTTATGTAGCGCTGTCCAGCCTGGTATATTTCTCCGAGAAGTAGCTGTTTTTATTGCGTGGCATATTCAATGAAGTTATCCGCAGATTCGTTACTTTAACTCAAGAGCCCTGACTAGCATGCAGTTTATGTACACTCACAGTATAAATGCCTGACTTTTTTTTTTCGCCTTCATGGGGGCAGCATATTTTGTAATCGTGTTTTTTTTTTCTTGAAATGCAAGAACAACATTGTGTGGTTAGCACTGCGTACGTGAGACAGCCAGCTATGACTACAATTATATATAACCCTGCAATTATTTTCAAAAGTGTTATCGGCGTAATTAACAGAAAGTACACACAGTATGCCAGTGAAACGGCGTGACACAGAAAGAAGTTCTAAAACACTAACTAGAAAATATCTTGAGCGAAAAAGGTATTTTCACAATAACCGAAGAATGGACAGTGACTCGCTTATGTTCAAGGCATAACTGGCTGAACGGGGCCGGGCTACGGGCCGGAGCCAGATGTTTTCGGGCTGGGCCGGAAACATCGGCCTGTGCAATGCTCTAACCAGAACAAGCCACTCCGCACATGATCAGTTCTTTAATTAATTACACGCCGAGAGAATACACAAAACGAAAATGAAACGGACAATTGAAGTAAACGGAGAAATCAGGTAAAACAGATATTACATGCACAGGTTAGAAACAACGATGCAACAGAAATATTTAAGAAGTAAGGAAATGGTGGGAGAAATCATCAAAAAAATATATATGCAAGAGCGACAACGACGTTGCTAAAGTTGAAACACACCCAGCAACACGAAAATCTCGTTTCGAACGAGTTTTGCGGAGCGAAATGGAGCAGTCGCACGTGACTTACCCCATGTGGTTCCACATTTTTCTCCTGTTACGATCCAAGGAGTGGCGGTGGCCCGAGGAGCGTGATTTAGGTCTCGTGTTGCGCGTCTTGCATTGATCGCGCGCGCAAATGAGCCGCCCTCCTAATTGTATCAGGAGGAGTACTCTCTCCTCCATCGCTCCTACGACAGCAGCAGCAGCGCCCGTGGCTGCCAGCATCGGCAGCAGCAGAAGCAACAACGGCGAACAACCCGCGCACGGTGGCGGCGGCAGTGGAGCCGCGCATTCCGTCGTGAGGGGAGCGCGGCAGGCATGGAGCAGAAGGAGAATGTGTGTGCGGCGCGCGCGCGCGCACTACTTTTTCGAGCCGGCTCGCGGAGGCACTTCCTTCCAGAAGGGGAGCCGCGGCGCGCTGCGGCCAGGCCTGTCCATCTCCCTCCGCCATTTGAAGCGAACAATTGGGGTTTCGTGTCGAGTGCTCGGACGGCGTTTTTACCGGTTTTAAAGAGAGAAAAAACGTCTCCAGTGGGACGCTGATCGCTGGATTGTCGTCGACCCTGTGCCAGGATCTTGTGTGTTTTACCCTTGCCGTGCTCGGATTAACCGCTGTGTGAATGTGCCTGGCGATGTGCTGCTGCACCCGGAGGCGCGGCGGTTGATTCGGCCGCCGCGGCCGCCGCCGCGTTGTCTGTCGCCATGGAAGGCGAAGCCAAAGTGCGGGGCTCCCGCTGTCGGCGCCGCGAAAGGGCCGCTCGGATGCAAAAGCAGGCTATGCGCGGCGGTCAGAGTGCCGACGAGGCCGACGAATCGCCCGGCCGCTCGGCGTCCAAGCCCCCGAGGCCTCCGAACCGCAAGAAAAGGAATAAGGAGCCCATCTTTGAGGAGGATGTCATCGACGGCTTTGCCATTCTCAGCTTCAGGACGTACGAGGATTTGGAGGTAAGTAGGCCTAACCTTCTCGCGTCTCTCTGCTGCGCGGGCTTGTCACGATTTCTCCGTCAACCGTTGGGGCTCGGGCCTCGGGAGTTGGGCCAGCCGTTGCGGAAAGGCGCCCCCGGCCTCGCTCGTCGGGCCCGCCCGAAATCGATGCATCCCGACGCGGTGCGTTACACGAAGACCCGTTCGGTCCACGACGTGCGCGAGGTTCGCTAGCTTCTGTCCGCTTAGGCCTAACCCCGAGAGCGGCCGGGTATTCCGGCTAATCGCCCCTGATCTCAGTTCACGCTCAACTTTAGGCTTTTGCCAGTGCCTTGGGCCAGGGCCATGATTTTTTTCGTCGTTTTTTCCCGCTTCGCAGGGCTAGCGCCGCTAGTGGAGCGCGCTGTCGCCAGCGGATCGGTAGCGCCGCTTCTTCCTCGCCAATCATCACCCGCGCCGGATTAAGAGGCTCGCGATATTATTTGTTTAGAATTATCCGTGCCACTCGACCGTGCGCCTTTTGTCCGTTTGTGCGGCGTCAGCTCTGTTTGTGTTTGACTTGCCGGCTTGCACGAGGAAAAAAAAGAAAGCGTGCGCGAATATCATTGCGCAAGTGCGACGACGAATGTTCCCGGGAACTGTACGCGCCACGCTGCTTCGAATGCTAAGATCGCACGCGCTGTTCAGAGTCGCAGCAAAGCCTTAAAGTGAAGTAGCAACTGTAATATGTCGTTGCGCGTCACCTATTCGCCGAAAACATTACGAAAGTGTGAATGTCGTGTTTAAATGATTGAATAGACAAGTCAGGCCATCTGGCTGGAACTAATACAGCTGTTGACGTTTCGCTCGGTCGTTCAAACGACAAACTCTCGATCATGCACGGATAACGGCAATTAATATCGAACTGGAAGAAACATGCTGCGAGGAAACGCCTACGCTTAACGTACATTATGCACGCGTACAGCTTTCTGTTTTTTCTTCGATGGGCGTTGGTATCACAGGTCTCCTACCAGTGACCTCTATTTATGAAAGGCAGCGCGCATTTTGTTGGGGGTGCCTGCTCGTGTGTTGATGGAAATGTAGGACAGGCGCAGGTTTGTTTCGTTTTATTGCTTTTCACGTGCTTTATTCGCAACTCTTTCTTTGCGCCCGTCAGTTGTTAAGTCCTTCTCTTCACATCGCGTGAGCTACTCAGTCGTTTCTTGAATGTCGTGCACTCGTTGTCTTGCACATTTTTATCCTCTCGACGGCTTGTCGGGGCAGGAGAGATAGCTGTAGGAAATCTTGCGTATACAATTATTCCCCGGACGGCACACACAGCATCGCAGTTTTTCTCACGTTCTGTCACGACTTACTTTTTTCTTTGTCCTTAAGCGCGCACTTCTCTCGTACGGAATGTACAACAAGCCGAGACTCGTTCCAGCGAGCTGTTATTGTGCTCAGGGGGGTTGGGGTGGGGATTTTTGGTGTGATGGTTGACACTTGGCTGTCTGCTGTGGAGGTAGCCAAGTGGTATTCACGACGAATGCGCTGACTATGGGCTGGAAGGCCTTGAAGCTCAGCGTTCCTGGTATTTCGTTAAAAAAAAAAAAAATGTATCCGGTTTTATCGGTCTTGAATTATCGCCGTGTTATCGTGTCTAAATCCGTTCACCACTTTTCGAACGCTTGTCCCTGGAAATGTCAGCTGTGAAGCGTCTTCATAGGGGTCAGTTGTGTGTATATACTTCACTGCCTGATTTAACTCCTTTCTTCCGGCGCCCCCTGTTGACCATCACCGGTCAGGTGTCACCTGCAAGGATGTTCTAGGGCGCGAGTTCGATTCCCCCGCCGCATTCCGCTGAGCGTCGAAGTTTGGAGACGCCCTTATGCTTACATTCACATATTTGTGCGCGTTAAAGAAAACCAATAGTGTTCGTAATTAGCTTGGAGCCCCCAACAAAGAAAAGACGTGCTTCATAAACACATCATGGTTCAGGCAGGTAAAACTACAGGATTTGGTTGGTCACTGCGAAGAATATCAGTCGTCACTGCCTTTGTTACTTGAGGCCAATCCAGTAGCCACGCCTCGCCCACTTAAGCGCAGTAATGCGGCGCTGTTGCAGTCTTTCTGTTTTCACTTAAAAAGAAAAAGTGTGTCGCGCCTGAGAGGTTCTTAAAAAGTAGCTGTCGTTTTATGGCACGAAAAGGCCGTCTTCCTGCTTTTACATTCGTTCAACTACATGGTGTGATAACTTCATACCGGTGATTTACGTGACGTGTGAAGCATTCGTGACGCATGTAACGACACACACACACACATATATATATATATATATATATATATATATATATATATATATATATATATATATATATATATATATATATTTCTGCTTAACGTGCACATCAAACATTCCCACATGCTCCTTTCTGCACCTAAAAAGGTAAAACAAGCGCAAATCCCGACATAGTGACACTAGTTTGAGACCGTTTTGCCCCTTTGGCGCAGCATATTGTTCGGCGCTAACGAGCAATTATCAACGGCGAAATTCAGCAAACGAGTGTCGATGCACTTACGCCGCAACTCAAGCTGAGACAAACGGGTGATAGATGATAGCGTTGGTATTGCTATGTGCAACGAATACGTTTTTCTTTACACAGCTGCTGTAAGACATAACAGGTAGCATTAATTTCTCATTACGCCGCAGTGGTTGTAGTATCACACGCGGGGCCCGTTTAAACGATGTCATTGACCCTGAACCCAAAAAAAAAAGAAAAGTTGAACTATCGATGCGTGCGCTCCTTCGTGTACGGGGAGGACATTACGTAAAATTAGTTTTGTTATTTTGATGGCTAAGTAATGTCGTGAGCAGCATGAATGTCGGAGCATCAGATGCGTTGCTCGTATGCATTTAAACTTTTAGTTTAGGAGAGGCCTATGTGTCATCGTACATTTATTTCTTCTCGCCCTTATTCCATTGTTTCAATTTCTATTGTTACCGCAAACATTTCAAATTAGCTCGGTACTTGTCGCTACCGGGAACGTTTTCCACTAAGATCCTCATTCGCTCCGTCGGGAAGGTATAAAAAATAGCGCGTGGTGGTGTTTTGGTGACGTGCACCCAATGTTTTCGGCTTTAATTACTCCCTTACACAGCGTTAGTTGTCCCAACGCTTCCCTCATTGCCAGCTCCGCGGGGTTTGTTGTCGAATGCCTCGGGCGACGTGCGTAACTTAGGCGAACAGTGTTTCGCTGCGGGGCCAAGCGATGTCTCTGTGTATGTGTGTGTGTATCTCTATCTGTCGGGCTTGGGTGTTTGCTTTTTTTTTTCGCCGCGATAAGCTTGTTCGTCCACTTGACTTACTGGTGGCGCCCGTCGCTTCGATTTGCCAGTCCACTCGAAACGAGAGAACATCGTAGCATAGCAGCTCGTGGCGGCCCTGAGTTTATGCGTGTTTGTCAGCTCCCCTTCCCCCTTCCCCCCACTCTTCTGCGCGTGCGGGCACACACATGCACAGACACTTGTTTTTTTCGTTAAGAGATTAGGGAGGCAATGGGTTCAAAAAAATTTCGCATTTTACCTCGTCTAAAAAATAGCAGGGAAGAGGGGTTGATGACTGGGCAGAAATAAAAAGCTACACCAAGGTGGCTTGACGAAGTTCTTGCCCCTGTCTTGGTAAAGATGATAGTAAACAAACCTCACTATACAATCAACGCAAGGAATGCAGGTTGGCATGACGCAAGAATTACACGAGGAGAATGCACTGTGTATTTTTCATACAAATACAGTCCTAGTAAAATCTTCCTTTCTTTCCAGTCGCTTGTTCTTATGTCTTGCCCAATGACACTCTCATCACAACATTTACAAATGTATTTACGAGTGAATTAATATTCCCCCATTGCTGCCGGTCGCCCACTGGTTTTTCGAAGCGGGTGGAAGATAAATTTCCCGGGTCTTCCGCTCAGTGCTGTGGGTACTTATATCTCGAGAAGGTTGACCTCTCTTTTCCGCTTTATTGACTTCCCTTTCTCCATTTCCAACGGTTGCAGAAATGTTGTTCCTATCTTTAAATCGCTGCTACTACTACTGAGTTGATGCGTTTATGCCGCCCCCTTCCCCCTCACACACACACCAAACCGCAGGTATACACACGGTCTCTCTTTACGAAGAACAAAGGCATCCAAAACCTCATAGAGTTTCCCACAATACTAACTAGAGGGAACTCTGGCGCTAGTGTCTATGGGAGTTGCAACACACGGCGCTTCAGCGAGCATGGGAAGGATGGGTAGTACACACATTTGTCTGATTTTCGTACTTCTGGCCTGCTTCTGGCTCCGTATGTGTGCGTGTGGCTTGGGGCTGTTTTTTCACAAAAACATAAATTAGCAAATGTTCACCGTTTGCGCTTCACAACCTTATTTTAAGCTTACTATTTTGAATCAAGTCCCTAAGTTCAAAATGGTTTGTTCTTTTTTTCAAAACAAAACCGTAACCAGTAATGATTAAAGCCGCAAGTACGATTCGCCGCCCGCAAGTACGAAGACTAGGCAAATGTGTGTACTACCCATCATTCCCATGGTCGCTGAACGATCGCAGCGCCAGAGTTCCCTCTAGTTAATTTTGAAAAACTCTCTGCAAAACGTAAACGTCTCGACCGCCGGCCATTACGAATGGAAGGTCGCCACGAGTTGTTAACCGGTTATCTTGCACGCTGATCTCGATTTCATCTGTTCCGCCGGAGCCTCGAGCACAGCAGTCGTTGCGCTTCTTTCGTGGCGATTTCCTTCTTTCTCACTCTGCGCTTCCTACGCACTCTTTCTCATTCGTTTCTCGACGCATTCACCATGCTTGCTTGTTCGCCCTTGCGCGCGCGGAGTAATGAAATTATCAGGCGCCGAAAGAAAAAAAAAAAGTCGCCGCAGGAGTGTGTTGCAAAAGGGTAGTAGGTGAGGTATTCTTACACCGCACTATCAGAGCAAGCGAACGATGATGATTGGGGGAAGAGGAAAATAGTTTCAGTAACGTCTGCTCGTTGAAA